TCAGAGAATCTCACCCCAGTTCCTTATGATGATACTTTGCAAAGCTTCCGGTGACTTATGTTTTATGCTTTAGTGTTGATAAATGCAACAATTCAATTAAAATGCAAATTCTATTATCTCAAAAGAGAACAGCCGATACCAATTATCAACAGAGAATGCCCAAGCCACTCACCTACAGAAGCAACAGTATCTGTAACCTTGACAACCTTGCCAGAGATTCTCTGAAGCTTCTCCTCCTCCTCCCCTTCCACCAAACCACAGCTGCTCTCTATAGAGTTGTATCTATTTGCTCTGCAGCCCGCCCCTGATTTTGCATAGGCACATGTTCCTATTAGTTCATAGATACAAGTCATACAAAGTAACCCAGTAAATCATGTTCTAATCAACTGTTTTCGTCAGGTATTAGACCAAATTATGGACAAAGAAATCTGTTCAACTGCAAGTTAATTTGTTTGCCTGGAGAATAAGTCATGGCAAATTTTAGCCAATTAGAACTGCAGTGACAACCTCTGCAATATAATATTCTGATGTAAGACTGCTCTGGGCTTTGGTTTCATACAAACTGTCTAATAGCTGACCCTTCAGTAGCTCCTCACAGCAGTCAAACAGGTCACTTCTAAGGTATCTGATAGCATACCTGTCTACATTGACAGTTAAACGACAGTCATCACTGTGGTATTACAGCACTTTCTAAATGACATAACTTCAGCATTTAGCATAGCTCCTCTCTTCCCTTCCCTTCCCATTCAACAAAGAGATTTCCAACAGTTAGTACATGAAAGACATATTCTATGCTTGTCCTGGAAGCTTAAGAAGCACACTGTACCTGCAGCAGCCAAAAGGTGCAGAGGGAAGTGCATGGGAACAGAGCAAACATGCAGCAACAGTTCCTACCGTACAGTCCCAGTTTCAAGAACTCTGAATTGGAGGAACTGTAAATGGCTCCTGTGTGCCCTGTAGTCATTCATACACTTCTCTACAATTAGCCTCTCCAAAACCCTGGTGAACACATAAAAGCTTCTACTGCACTCGGTGGCAAGGAGATCCACAGCTCTTGTGTGCAGCATAAAGGAGGTTTTTTTGCCTTCTGCCTTCCACCTGCTACATAAATTTGGTTCCCCAAACAGCTCTAGAGGCAGAGGCAACAACAGCCATTCCCCATTTGCTGTGTCATTCCAGTAGCCCGCTACTGCATTCCCCACCTCCCCCATTACCACACCTGCAGACCGAGGAGGCCAGCCAGCTCTGTAATCGCAGCCCCTGCTGATTACTTCAAGTCCTTTCTGAGCTCTGTGGAGCAGCCATGCACATGATGAGCAAGCTGCAGAAACATCGCAAACACCACAGACTTGTGCTGTGCCACAGTGATTCTCTGCAGTGTTTCC